TTAATTTGCTTTCCTCTTACCTCTTATGAAGTTGCTGATGAACTTGTCCTTGGGAAAGATGGACAGAGAGAGCTACATGTAGAAGGATAAATGCATGCCTTTGGATCAGGTAGGCCTCAACTAACAGCCTAGATATGCTTATCACTTACAGTGTGACCCTGGGAAAATGACTTAGCTTTTGTGGTTACAGGTGACAGAATCCTGACTCCAAGTCACATAAGCACCAAAAGGAATTTGTTGGATCAACTGTGAGGTAGAGTATGCATTGGCCATGTCTGATTTGGGAGATCAGTGCTCTCATTAACTGGTTTCTTTCAATTATCTTTTTTCTTTTGTTAATGGTTTAGTCTAAAAGGTCATTTTCAGTGACTGCCATATCTGAGTCTTCTCTCAAGTGTCCTCCTGCACTCTGTCATCTTAGTTCCATCTTGAGGCTATCAGGATATCTTGGTGGATCTGGGTCTCTGTGAACCTATTCCTGAAACCAGGAGCAAAGAGATGGCATTCCCTGACATCCATCTAAACTCTTCCTATCATCTTCTTTATTCCCTTTTTCTTGCACTAAAGGCATACTATTCTACCTGGGTCAATTCCAAGTAAGCTGAATAATCAAGCTAAGCTTGATTTCTGATGTGATGACTAGAAACAGAGATGGAGTGGAGTGTTAGGGAAGAGGGAGGTGGCTGGCTGGGAAGAAGCAGCCCATGCTGCTGGACCAGTTTGCTGGCTGCGATGATATCTAAGGTTGGGATCTGGAGACAACTCTGTCTTCCATCCAGATTCCCACAGCAGGAACAAAGTGACCTGAGCCTTTTCTCTCCAAGCCCCCCACACAAGTGGTTTCCATCAAGTTTTGTAATGTGAGAGCCTCTCTGGAAGCCAAGGCCTTCATGCTTAGCTGAAAGTTGTTGAGATGTTGTTTCCAATTTTTTGGCAAATGGATTGGCCTCCAGATTGACAGCCTTGGAAATTGTACTCTTCTGTTTGTTCCACAACAGGTATCACCTGTGAACTGTAAGAAGAGACAGAACATGGTGTTCAAGGCCAACTCCTGATTTTCCATGGTCTCGGTTGGGTGTGGGAGGGTGAGGGAACATTTGGAGAGTTCAAAGAAGTAATGTCTATGACCAAAAATTAACAATGATTATGCTAAACCAACCATCTGCATTAACTTCTGATTTAGTAACAGATTTCTAAAGTTAATTGCTGAAAAGTAATATTCAATTGGTTTCAGTTCTAACTCATCCATAATTCTGAGGCTGTATTCCAAGAAGGGAGCTGATGAAAAGCAGCTATTTTGTGTCCTATTTAGACTGTAAGGAATAGGATCAGGAGAGTCCATGCTCATGAGCTCAAGCGTCCTTACCTTTACCTAATAGTCATACATCCAAGAAACTGGTGAAATTGGTGATAGGAGTCTAGTGGACTATCTCATAATCTTATAGCAAGAAGGAAGATAAGAATAATAAAGTAGCTATGGTTTATTAAGTGCCTAGAATGTACTGGATGTTCTCTTTATATAATTTCTAATTCCCAAAATAGTCTTGCAGGTGAGTGTTACTACCTTATTTTACAGAAGATAGACACTGGATTTTATAGAGTTTAGACACTGGATCTTGGAAAAACCATCACTTGCCCATGTTTATATAAGGCCTATATGATGTGTCTGGGATCCAATTTAAGTGTGAGCTCTACATGGTGCTCTGGGCAAACATCACTCTCCCATCCACCCTGAGATCCAGGACAGGTCAGGGCCAAGAAAGAGATGTCCACTGCTCACTCAGCTCTTAGGTTGGAACCCACTGTTATGGTCTACTTTATTTCTGGGAGAAGAAATGAATTAATTTGACTCCCAAACCTAGGGAAAGTGAGAGTGGTTGAGAAGAGGGATGAGGTAGAATGGTCCAGCACAGAGAATAGGAGGTAGGAAATTAGGCATGATGGTTTAGAGAATTGTTTATAGACTTTCCTCAAGGTAAAAGCATATTCACTATATCATTTCCATGTTCTCAGAGATATTCACTTTATCATTTCCACATTCTCAGAGATGATGAAGTCCTGGTCTAAGGAAATCTTACTTTGAAAAACAAATCCATGGGTATTAAAAGTCACTAATTTCTCTGGTAGAGACCAATCATATTCATCTACTATCTCTGGTTATAAGAGAAAACTACATCTAAACCACTCTTTTGTCCTTCTGCCCAATATCTATAGTCTTGATGGCCCTATAGAATTTTGGGAAAATCTCAATATGACTGTGAAAAGTCAAGAAGCTCTGGGAGAAGTAGATATGTGATATCTTTGGCCAGAAAGATGTCTTCAGAAATGGCATTGGAAATAGTTCCAAGTCTGGAGTCTGAGGCCAGCTTTACCACAGAGGCAATTTCCTCAGTGATTGCTGCTCTATCACTTCCCCTGGGTCACCATATCCTCCCTGACTTAGATCTTGGTTTCTGCTCTATTATCTAGTGCCACCCCCCAGGACAATCTGAGATGGCTATCATCCCCATAAATAGTGAATATGAGAGTATATTCAGTGCCAGTAAAAATAAAAATAATATTCCCTAAGTGGTACACTGTGTCTCAGTCACTGTGCAAGGCACTTTACCTAAAATAAATCTTCATGGAGAAATCCCACGTTACAGAGTTAACTATCTTGCTGAAAATTACACAGCTAGTAAAAGAGTCAGAATCCAAATTCAGACTTGCCAAACTCTGGAATCCAGGGCAAGGAGGACAGAGTCAAAGTCATCTTTCTAGTTGCTATTACCAGCATCAGTGCTCAGTAATTCCTATTCTTGGGGTGCTCTGCAGAATTCCCAGTACTGGGTACTGTTATCCCCAGAAAGGAAGCTCAGGTAGAAAGCAACTGAGTGAAATTGAGTGAAATAGTTATAGCCCTAAAGAGGTCAATAGGTGAACCTAAAACTGAAGGTGGGTGGTCCATTAACTTACTACCCCTTTGTAAAAACTGCTAAGATATCCAATTGATTGCATGAAAAATATAGATTTAGGGAAACACATCAGTCACACTGATAAAGATGTCAAATACTGAGACACATTTGTCTAGTGAGCCGGGTGGTAAGAAATGTGGGAGGGTGGGGTTAGGAATGCTGGACAGGGTGACGTTCATGCTCAGTATCACAGAAACCAGAGCAGGAGGAGATTTGGAAGCCAAGTCATCCACCCCTTTATCATACCCCTGACTAGCAGTGCCCATCCCCACTTCAGATACCACAGAGACAAGAAGCTCACTATTTCCATACCTTCAAATACCACCTCTGGATATTTCCAACTTTCTGAATGTTGGATCAATAGAAGTAGAACATCAGTATTTTCAGATTGAGCTTCTGGGAGTGCAAATGAGGATATTGCAATAGTCAGACACATGTGGATGTCCAGTGGTTCAACCATTTTGGAAAGGTACTTGAGGGGTTCCTTATAAAGTTAAGCAGATACTTGGCCATATGGTCTAGCCATTCCATGTCTAGATATTTACCCAGTGACAACACATGTCTATGCTAAAACCTGTATGCAACCATCAAAAACTAGAAACAATATAGATGTTCATCAATTGGTGAATGCATAAAAGAAATGTGGTGTATTTATACCATGTAATAGTACCAGTAAAGCAAGACAAAGAACAGATTACCACTATAGGGACATCATGGATAAATCTAAAATGCTTTATCTAAGTGAAAGAAACCAGATCAAAAAGTCAAGGCTACATATGTTATGATTTCATTTATATGACATTCTGGAAAAGGCAATAAATAGAATACAGGCGCACACACACACACACACTCACACACACACACACACACACACACATACCTGATTGGTGGTTTCCAATAGCTAATGATGAAGAGAGGTGTTTGTTGACTACAAAGAGGTATGAAGGGGTGTTTTGGAGGAAGGAAAAAGTTCTACATTTTGATTATGGAAATGATTTTACAATTATATGCACATATGAGATTTCATTAAACTGTATACCTAAGAAGGATAAATTTTGCAGTGTGCAAATTATACCTTGATACATCTGACTCTGGAAAAATATTAACAATTATGTAGTCACAACATTTGATACTTTGATGATTTCTGTGTGGCTGCAGAATTTCCGTGCTCATGGTAATAATGATAATGAGAGGACCGTCTCCCTTCTCCCTGTAAGGATAGCTTCATATGGATGCCTGAGTCTGACCACTGCTGGAGCTTGGGCCATTATTTTCTTCTGAAACAATAATTCTAGTAGTTGGTCCAGGTTATGTCTCTGAATTTGCTCTTGGTCTGTGGCCTTGTGCCCTGGAGCCTGATGTGCTTCCTGCTCTTCTGAGCGACTTGATGCTAATTTTTTTTTTTTCTGGCCAGGACAGAAATGATTTCCTTTTCTTAGTTTTTTGCTCTTCTGTGGTTCTTTCCGAGAATTGCTTGGGCCCTTTGAGTTCATTGTTCATCTATTGTTTGCACAAGGTCTTTTCTTTTTTTGGTTCACACCACCAGAGTGCCTGGGACTGGAGAAGACTAAAGCAAGGCCACCTCCTTTCTAGTCCCAGAACCTCTGCTTTCACTGTGGACCTCAAGGACCTGGCTGTTCTATACCCTTTGCAGCATTTCTCCTTTAAATTGAGTTTCTAGTAGCATGTTCTACCTGCACATCCCAAATTCATCATGCTTGTTTCTACATCCCAACCCTAAGTTTGGACATGGTTCGAGCACCTTTCTTAGGGCATTCCTACCTCATGCATATTATCACTATACATTGACTTAGGGGGTGGGGAAGCTGGGAAGAGATCAAATTTCTGATGTTCAGACTACTCAATTTTAGTTTTGGTCTAAACCCGTCTTTTACATAATGAAGGTGCTTTTGTCTTCCAGCATCTTCTGTTGTTTTTCTCACTCTCCTTTGGAACCATGCTGAGTAAGTCTAATGTCTCTTTTAGGTGACAGGCCTTCAGCTATTTGAGGACAATGACTATATCTTTCTGGATTCTTCTGTTTAGGCTGCCTCAGCAAGAATTCTGCGTCTGCTGGGGACGCTGCGTTTGGAGTGCTGAATTGAGATCCAGACCCTGCATGTAAGAAGGATGGAAAAAATAGAGGAAGTGCTGGTCCTCAGTGGGGAACAAGCAGAGACTCCCACACTACTCCATAGGGAGAATCCGCCTTGTGCTCTGGATCTGCCTCCTCTCCTGTGCAGGAACATCTACAGCAATAACCTGGCATTACCATGTCCCTATTGACCAGAAATCTCCTTGCCATCAGGGAATCTCGAGTGAAATGCTACTGCCTATTACAGTTCTCTGTGAAATTATTGGCACTTCTTTGGAGCAAACAAATATTTTTTTTCTAGTGTTTTTTTTTTTTGGCAGGGGCGGGGGCGGGCAGCACTCAGAATGGACTAAGCATCTCCTAGGAGTATCAGCTTGGGCTAGATTCTGTGTGGAGGTCCAGAGGGAGGAAAAGTCCTGGTTATAATGGAGAAAACATCCTAGACGCATGGGAGAAAAGACCCAAAAACAAAAATAGGGAAGTGTAGTGTACCCAGCTCTGCTCACAGCACACGGGAGTTGGCACTGTGTTCAGGTCTGGTGCTCAATCAAGGTCGAAACATAACCCAAACATTGGCAGGCCCGTGGGCCAACTCCCTACATTTCTGAAATGGTCTTACTGAGAATAAGAAATACATTTCATCCCTTAGAATTTTCTTTATTCTTTACCACCCAGGCTGCCTCTGCTCTCTTGTGCTGGACAAGACCCATCTCATTCCAAGCACACGCGGCCATGTTGTCTGAGCACGGGTGGAAACCTCTTGTCACCCCCTCCAGAACTCTTTTTTGAGGAGATTCCCATATTTATTTAGAAGAAATATTTGAGTCACTATGGGTGGAGGGTGACACTTAAGAGAACTGCTTTGTACGGGACAAGAAGGGGAATATGTGTCACTTCTGAGAGAGGGGAGTGGGGAGAAGAAAAAGAAAGAAAGAAAAGAAGGAAGAAAGAAAGAAAAGGAAAAAGAAGTGAGGGGCATTTAGAGATAGAAATGACCTTGGAGGTGATCCTGGCTCTGGAGAGGCTTAAAATGAATTACTAAAATTACCAAGTGACTGATGGGAATGAGAGTGCTAGGGCAGGGGCTGTGTATTGTGCTTACACCTGAATGGGAGAGGCCAGAGACCATGGCCAGGCTGCAGGAACTGAAAGAAGATTTGAGCCTGAGTAGCAGTTGTCTCCTTGTTTGTTTTTCCCACTGGATCTCCTCCTCCGTGGGCTCTGTCTTACTTGTCTATTTCCAGTGTCCAGTACACTGCCCCGAACATAGAGGGCCCTCATTCAATGTTTTTTAAAGGAAAGAATGATGGAAAACTAGACCTTTGCAGAGAAATCCTCTTATTTTGCAAGTAACAAAGGGTAAAATGTAAATGAGAATGTTGTAGAAACTGCAAAGTCCCTATATTGATGTCTTCTTAAGTTTTCTGATTCATTCGAAGGAAGACAGAGCCAGATAAACCTTATATAAATGTTGTCCCCTTAATCTAGATGAGTCTAGCTCAGATGGATTGGTCTATCTCAGATACACCTCTGCCACAAAGACTCTAATTGTGTGGCATCATGGGAATATGATCTGGAATCATAGAAAATTAGAATGGAGAGGGGACATTAGAAATCTCTTAGACATAATCCAAACTCTGCCCCTTATGTCACTCACCACTTTCTGTTTTTGTTTCCTTGCTTTATAAAATGTCTTTTATTTTGAAACAAGGCCTTTCAGCCTGTCAACATAAGTGTGTGTTCCACTCAGGAATAAACTTTAATTAAAAGCATGAAACATGATTGGCATAAAATCAGTGCTGAAAAGTGCTTTGCAAATGTTTTACAAGAAATAAATAGTACTTCAAACTCCAATGGCTTCCTGATAAATCAACAGCTTGATAGGATGTTTAGTTGGGCACTCTGATGGGATGGGCAAAGTGGACTTAGAACTCAGTGGGACTTGGAGAAAGCCGACTAGGGGTTACAGTGGAAGGGGTGAAGGATGATATGGGTGGAGGTAGAAGAGATGAGGTGGGAGATGTTGCAGAAAGGATTGGTGAAATGGAAGGAGGTTAGGTGAGGGGTTATGTGCCCAGGAAAATTGTGCCATGACAGAGTCTAAGAGTCCATATGGAGGTTGTTCATATTCATATGATGTAACCCTGCCCTATTTCCATCTTCTGCAAATCTTGAGCTGAATTTTGGAACCTGGCCAGTTTTCCCAGGAATTTGTAAAAATCTCGTGCAGGGAATTGAATCTTCAGTAGAGTGTAGAATGGTCTGATGAATCTTTAGTGAGAGTATAAGGAGCAGGGAAAGCCCAGAGTATATCTGAGTTATGCAAATCTTTAATGTCCTGGAAATGTATATACACACAAACACCAGCATCTTGAAATTTGTGTTTTAAAACAGAATGGGGAAAGAGATAAAAGTCATACATAAACTGTCATTTCAGCTATAAATGATAAACATCAACTGAGTGCCTTTTGTTTAGATTTTGTCTATCTGTGGAATTTTGATGATGTCATTATTGCTCAAGAGATCTTGTAGCTGGTGTTAGAGGATGCAGAACATCACCCATGCAAAGTTGGGAAGATTTGAAAAAGAAGATGGCAGTAGCAATATGTTATCCCAACAGCTTTTATGGTAAACTCTGGTGAAAAGTTTTCATATCATTTTGCATCCAAATAAGAGTGGCATGTGACATACCCTGGAACCAATCCCTGGGCCAAGAATGCAGTGAAATTTAGAGCTGTTGTACTCCTGAGTCCATGAAAGCATGAGACAGTCTCTACCCAGATGGCTTTTTAAAAAAAAAATTAATGAACTTATTTATTTTAATTAGTTATATATGACAACAGAATGCATTTTGATTCATTGTACACAACTGTAGCACAACTTTTTAATTCTCTAGTTGTACACAATGTAGCATTGCACCATATGTGCAGTCATACATGTACCTAGGGTAGTGATATCCATCTCATTCCACCATCTTTTCTGCCCCCATACCCCCTCCCCATCCTTCCCTCCTTTTGCCCAATCACACACAGTTCCTCCATTTTCCCCATGCCTCCCAATTATGGATCAACATCCACTTATCAGAGAGAACATTTGGCCTTTGTCTTTTTGAGATTGGCTTACTTTGCTTAGCATGATATTTTCCAACTCCATCCATTTACCTGCAAATGCCATAATTTTATTCTCTTTTAATGTTGAGTAATATTCTGTTGTGTATAGTACCCACTGTTTCTTTATCCATTCATCTATTGAAGGATATCTAGGTTTGGTTCCACAGTTTAACTATCGTGAATTAAGCTGCTATAAACCCAGATGGCTTTATTTCTGAAGAGATCTCTCGAAAAGGTAAAACCTCTCGGATTTCCCAGGTGATGAGCTATGCCATTTGCTGGATTGTACTGTCAACAAAGGTGCTGTGTAGCTTGTGAATCCTAGCCTTCTCTTCTGGCACTTCATTCACCCTTATCATAGCTTTCTCCACAGTCAACACAGAGATGAATGAGAGTGCTGAGTCTGAACCTTTCCTGTGAAATTAGTGATGATGCAAAAAACAAAAGGCTCCCAGGGCTTGCATGAGGTTTGTGCACAGACAGGGGTACATGGCAAGTTGTTCGGTTTACTAGCCTGTCCATAATGTCACTTTCAGCTTTCTCATTGGGTAAGGAAATGAAGGATTTGTGTCCATACTCAAGTTGATGAACAAGATGCTAGCAGTGTCACTGGCAGGGTGGGTCTACTGTTGATGTAGAACAAAAAAGGACAAACGCAGCAGTGTTCTCCAGCAGAGTATAAGTAATAATCTTTAGATTATCAAAGATCAGGTGGCCTTCCTCCACCTTGTGACTACGGATGCAGAGTTATCACATTGTCAGTAAGTAAGACAATGGCCTACATTTTCAGCCATATCAAAGCCTTCTGTCCCAAGACCTGCCTTCTTTGAAGCACTGATCTCCATCCTCCATCACAGCACAGTTGCATTCTCCTCCCCCTGCCCTCTAATGATCAGCTTCCATGTTTGAGCAAAGATGATTTCTGAATGGATGTTAAGAACTCATCTAGCTGTTCCTGGGTTATGTCTCTCAGTCCCATGCTAGTCATGTCCCATTTGTTAACTTGCTCCATAGCAAGAGTGAGGCATTTTGCAACGTCTTCCACCACCTCACTGTTGGCTACCTATACTATTGGCAATATCTTTGGCTGTGAAGGGACAGTCAGCAGAAAGTAAAATAACTGTGATCTCAGCACTCTCATGTTTGGTACCTGCATAGTGGCCTTAAGAAGGACCAACCGTTGACAAGAGATCGCAAAGCAGAAGTTGGAGGTGGGAAAGGTCATGGTATTTGTGTGAAGGTAGAAGATGATTCAAATGCAGAACATGCTCCCCTGGCCCACAGACACTGTGGAAGTTCTTTTCCAGTGGCTGCTCCAGGCCACTGGTGATGATGGTGCTGTGCTTCCCTAAGATCATTGCCATGATGAAGTGTTTGTAAAAGATCATCTGCCTCATGTATGGGGAGCTGAAATTTGTTGATGGAGTTAAAAGAGATTTCAGCCTGGTTATTTTGCAGTCACATTTGCTTATTTTCATCACATCACCCAAAATGACCTGAGAATTTCCATGGGCAGTTTCTAGGCATCTCCAACCCATCTCTTGATTATGGGAGGACTTTCCTGTCCCAATTTAAATTTAGCTTAGTGACACAGTGTTATTATCATGAATAAGGATGTCCATATTTCAGAGATGTGGGTAAAGACTTGATTTCACTGTTGTTCATGTGTGACAGCCACATAGATCTGATTGTCAAACCACAGACGGGTCCCTTTAAGTGTCAGGCTGCCAGGTCTTGTCAGTGCAGATGATGAAGTGGAATGGAGGGTCTGTGCTGCTTCCAGGTTCTTCACCAGGCAGTTCTGTATGTTTTTCTGCTTTCCATCAGTAGGAGTGACAGTGACAATGACCAGAAGATTCTTAGGTACACTGGCCACGTGATATCTGTGAAGAAGATGGAAGAGTCTAGGGCATGATACCTGGAGGACACCGTGAAGATGGAAAGAAGGCCAATGACAATGGCCACTCCTGTCACAGTATAAGAAAAGCACTCGAATGCAATACTAGTGGGTGTGTTCTCACTTCTAACACCTGAAGCCGGTGAGGCCATCTGTCCGTGACTGTGCCCAAACTGGTGTTTGTGACCATGCCAGTTGCTGTGTCTTTCAGATAGCTTGTGGAAGTAAAGCCAGGTTCTTTGTTTCCAGGGGACTGTCATGAGCAAAGCCACAAAAGCAGAATTGGGGCTTAGGCCTCTTAGTGAGAGATAATATTTTCCCCCAACCTGATGTCCGTAGGAGCTTAAGCTTCTCCTTTAATTACTCTACCATGCCTGACCTCCAGCTGTCTTGCAAGGTGCATTCTTCTCTGCATTTCAGATGATAAGAGCTTGCTGAGGAATACTTTTACTGAAGCTGATCTTGATGTTGTTGATTTTTTGTTTTTTGTTTTTTTTTTAAACCTCATTATATTCAAGGATCCCCATAAACAGAGGAAGCACAGAGTCTACATACACATTGCCTAGAGATGCAGGCTTAGCATCTGAGTACTGAGTCACAAATGCTACCCAGCACAGAAAAGCTGGAAAGCCACAGAAAAGAGAAGCACTGCACCATCTGTTAAGGAACTTGATAATCTTTGATGTTTCTCTGAGAGGCTTGAGGGTATTGGGGCTGTCCCAAAAAGGAACTTTGTAGCTCTAGTGTTACATGGAATATTTGAACCACATTTTCTCCCAGTTCATTATTGCTGAATTTGTGTTCATCTAGGTTAAGTTCTTTCTGGTAACTCTTTTTGAGAACCAAGCAGTTGTTTTTATGGCCCCTATACTTTTTCTTGCTGTCCCTTTTTTCTCTATATCTGTAGTTCTGCT